CATTAGAATTTTGTGGTGGGTGGCTTTTCCAACTGTAGTTATAGTTACTTAAAAGATTCTTTTACTTATCCTGTGTGTGTGTGTGTGTGTGTGTGTGTGTGTGTATGTGTGTGTGTGTGTGTGTGTGTAGGGTTGCCAAATTTAGTAAATAAGAGACAGGCCACTCAGCTAAATTTAAATTTCAGAAAACAAAGTATAAATATACCTAATTTATATTCAGCATCTGCTATGTGAGTGGCTGGTTCTTTATTGTTTCACATCCATTCTAAAATGACAGAAAGCCTCTACAGGTAAATGATATTATTCACAGATTGTAGGTAAGGGGGCTAAGAAATCAGAAAGGAGAAGACAAAGGAATGAACTGCTACTGAGCATCTGCTTTGTACCTGGCATGGTGTCAAGGACTTTAGAAACATCATCTCATTTAATTCTCACCACATACCTAAAATTAGTTATCATGAGAGGTAAGAGTTATAACACACATTTTACAGATGAAGACAGATGCTTAGAAAAGTTAAGAAACTTGTTCAAGAACACATAGAGCTAATGAGTGGGAGAAGAAGAATTCAAAGGCCATGTAGCTCCAAAGCCCAGTCTGTCCCATTTCACAATAGTTCTGCAAGGAGATCAGTTAGCATTTCCAAGTTCACTCAGCTAGTAGGTGGGGGATAGAGGATTCAGTGTAGGTAGGTCAGACTCCTAATCTGATGAAAATTAGTGTTTAATGATGTTGATTAGACCACTCAAAGAACTTTGATGTCTATGGAGGTCTAAAACAGAACCACAGCTCTTGTCATTAATAAGTTCTGATAATTTGAATGTATGTGTGCGTGATTTGGGGAATATTCTTAGCAAGCTGCCTTAAAGAGATGTTAAGAAGTCTTGAAGTTTAGTCTATCATTAGTTTGCTCCTTCCCCAAGCCTTAGTTCTTATAGTCAGTTGGGTAAACCTAGGGTTTAGAATATAATTATTTTATTCTCAGAACATGATAGAAGTCATGTAACTAATGCAGACTTAGGGTTCTGATGGATTTCTTAAGCCGCAGAACTTGGTGTTGAGATATAAAGAGAGAGTGTCAGGTACTTTTCTCAGAGGATAGAGTAGGGGGTAAGTGGGAGCCATTTTGGAGAGCAAAAGATTGCAAGAGACTTGGCTCCTAGTTTTAGCGTTGGGACAGATACATGGTGTGACGTTAGGCAGACTGCTTAAGCATTCTGAGCTGTCAGTTTCTTCATCTAGATAGGAACTGGGAGGGCCATGCCTTTATTTTCATCTACCTCTAGCATTCTGTGATATTGTGACTTAGTGATGCTTTCTGCATTTTGATTGGACCTGTGAAGAAGCAGAGTCTTGTGTAATGGACCCACAGCTGTTACGGAATTCCTATAGAAAGCAGAGTCAGGGCAGCCACGGAAAAAAATGGTATAGCAGGCAAGACTGCCCTTTGGGTGTCTTTCTTCTCCTAACAATGTCCTCCTGGCCTCAAGCACAAAACACCGACATGTGTCTTGCCTGATTTTAACATTCCCCCCAATCTGCTCCTTTCTAGGCAGCTTTGCATCCAGATTCCTAATGAACTCTTGCTTGCTTCTTATATTGCCTCCAAACCTGAATGTTTTTAGCCTTGTCGTGGGCCTCACACAGAGGTAGTATGCATGGTGGTTCTACCTTTGGGGTAAAACTATCTGGGTTTTAATCTTGGCCTGGGTGTTAATCAGTCTCTCCACTGTAAGATACTGGGAGAATTAATTCACATTTCTGAGCTCCAGCTTTCTCATCTGTAAAATTGGGGAGATGATAGTGCTTAACCTCATTAGCTTGTCGTGTAAAATAAATGCATTAATGTAGAAAATTTTAGAACAGTGCCTGGCATATAATCAATGAGCAATATATATTTTATAAAATGACTATATGCCTCTGGGTGACTAATTAGTCCTACTATATTCATGGATGTCTAAATCTATATATGTTTCCTATTTCCAAATGCAATGTGTGTGCTTTCCCTTTTTTGTATATTAGTGAAGGGCACGCAATTCCAGCACTATGGCGCACCACTGAGACAGATGTTTTGGTAAGTACCCTTTCAGCAGTCCTCAAATCACACCCGATAAGCTCCCTCTGGTTCCATGAATGTACAGTTAACACTACTGAGCAGAAGACTGTCCACATTTGCCAGCATTCCTGATGGGAGTAATCAAGAGTTACTGCAAGAACCACCAGAGCTACATTTCTCATTTTTCCTTTTAAATGGTGCTGGGGGGACAGCTTGATGTGTTTTCACACACACACACACACACACACACACACACACACATACACACACACACACACACACACACACACTAATAGAGTCTTTACTAGGCTCTGTTGGAAAGAACTATAAATGCATCATAAAGCATCTATAAAGCAAACTTTTCCCTCTACATCAATCCTCAGTATTTCTCTATCACTTAATGCTTCCATTGACTTGAAAGAGGGTAAAAGACTGTAGGTTGGTGCAATTTTTTGTTTTGAAATAATATTCTATGTTTCAGAAGTTTATTATATAACTATACAAGGAAATTTTTATGCAAGTGTGAGCAGAAAGCCTGAATTTCTTTTTCAACTGTCATACATTTCCCTTTTTCTGAAATTCTTAGGACAACGCCTTTTTTCTAGTTAGGATCAGAAAATCATGGGGAATGCAAATAAACTAAGAAACTATACAGAAAACAAAGAAGAATCAATCTTTACCAATGCCCTGCTTTGCTCCCTTTACTGAATGAGTTTGACATTCAGAAATCTGTAAAACATTTGGCATAACACATATGAGAATCTTTCTGCATGAACAGGCTTTTTCTACTGAGTTCATTTGGAACCTTTAAACATCATTACCCACTGAGTGCCAAGTCCCAGTGTGAATAGTTAAACTGGGGCATCTAATGGTTTGGTTGAATAACCAGTGGGACTTTTTATTATAAAATTCAGTCTGGCCAGGGATTAGTTTCAAGAGAAATCATGTCCTTTGTTGATTAGGATTTTTTTTTAATAAAAATGTTACAGTAAATATTTTGAAAAGCAAAATAGGAAAATGACATGTGAAACTTTTCTGTCTGGACCAGAATAAGATTCAGATCCTACAGCAGAGCTTAAAAACCAAATATGCAATTGAACTTACCAAAAACAGCTGCAATGTGCAGTGCATTTGGACTAACAATCAGAGTCTTCTGGTATTGTTTTTCCTTATAAGATTAGTTTTTTTATATTCTCCTCTTTACCAAATGCAAAGTGTCTTGGCCACTAAAGATTGTTTTGTGAACTGAATGAATGATTAGAATAACCTCTGTGAACCTCCAGTGGGCTATTAACCATGCACATAGCCACATCCCTTCTACTATAGGAAAAATCTTCTCAGGTTACTCATACATATTCATGAGGTATTTCTTCTTTGGCTCTTTTTTTTTTGACATATTTGCATCCTTTACTTACTTTACTTAGTATAAGTAGATAAAGGAACTGTATCCATCAAGGAACATTTAAACAACTTCACAAAAGAAAAAGCACAAGGTAAGATATCTGTATTTGAAAAGAGACATTAAAATATAAACTTCAAGAAGCATGGGGGAGAAAACAGTATGTTTCCCATTTCTTTTCCAAAACAAAGGAAGTAAGAAATTCTTTCATGGTTTTTATTTGTTTTTCAAATCACATTGTCCTCAACTTTTAAAATAATAATCTTCCTTGACAGTCATTTAATAATTGTGAGTGATCTATGACTTTATTATAAAGTACTCATCTAATGATCTATTTCCTTTACCCCAGAGGCCAAGTACAAAGCTGGGGAATTATCTTGGTGATACTTTTAATAACTTCCTGTGGGATCACAAACCCCGACTGAAGCGGACTCTCCAAAGGAGTTAATCATGTAATTTCACAGATTAGACACCACAGGGTTACTAATGAGAAACTTCAGTTTAGTGATAAACTTTTTTTTTCCATGAATATTTTGAGAGGCCTGTAACCTTTGGCTGACACCCAGCAAGGCTATTAGTTTAACCATGGGATGCACTACCAAATGCACGAGAGTCAGCAGAACTTCTTTTCTGGAAAGTTGATGGCAAGAATAGTTTTGTTAAAGAGACTTCAGAAACAGATGGAATGGGCAAGTGTGGGGGTGGAAGACAAGCATAAAAAAAAAGTATCAACTTCCGTTGGCTGGCATTAACTTCAGCTTCTAGTACCTTTTCAACCATATGCTCAAGATGGAAACTGCAGCTCACATTGAAATGTCATGCTGCCCTCTGTTCCATAAACATGTATCATCCATCACTAAATATTTAGATCTAAATTGTTGGAGCTGAGTTCTGTGCCAGGGGTAGGGGGATTAATTCCTTTCAAGGTCCTCACATGATGGATTTTCCACTGAAGTAAACATCCGAGAAGAGCTCACACTAAAGCCATAAAATATATAAATAAAGTTTAAAGTTTAATTAAGTCAACATTATTTAAAGTGGTTGTCATATTTTATGGTGAACTTTTCATGTTTATTTTGTATGACTCCTTATAAATAGCCCCTCCTGACCAGACAAAAAGCACAGCTAGATTAAAGTTGAGGACTCTAAATTTAGGGCTGGAAGAAGAATATTCCTGAGTTAGGGATAATGCAAACTTTTCCCACTAGGTTTTTGATTAAAAAACTAGCCTGTTATCTAGACACTGTGTCAATATCCTATACAGACACAACATTTGAAAATCCTTCAGGGTTTATCAATTAGACCATGGGGAGATAATATACTTACATAGATAGGAGCACAGGATAGCAAATAAAGGAGAAAAAAAACAAGTGATAAAACAACTTTATTTTATTTTTTAGTTCCTATATTAATAGAAAGCATAAAAAGGAAAATAACTGATTCCAATTAAGTTTATATTGGCTTAGTACCTTCTTAAAGTAATTATTCTTGAGATAAATCATTTGAATATACATAACTTCCCCCATAATGATTTTCCCCTTAATATATATATGTATATATATATTTTTATTGCCAATGCCGACTGTATTTCAAGTCGTCATGGCGGGGTATCAGAAAAAGTTTTCAATTAGCAATAATGGCACCTTGGATAAACCTCATTGGCTATGATACTGCCATTGCCCAAAGCTCCCCCCTTAATATTAAATAGGGAAATTGATTGTACACTCTTTAATGTTTGATGGATATAGTATTAAAGGAGAAGGAGCAGGTGAAGGACAGAGACCAGCTAAAGTGCATTCCTTACTGCAAAGTTGCGGTTCGGTATGAACATCCTCTTTTAAAAAAGCTCCTTCAATATTACAGTGAGAGCTCTAGTTCTTTCTACACAAAGAATCCCTGTCTAAAGACGTATTTAAGCCTATAAGGAAACTTTGAGTTGAAATAAAACTCTAGCACTATTGTTGAACTGTGATATTTTGTGAGAAGAAAACCAAAGTTGAGAGCAATTCATCGTCCCAGTTCCCATAGCTAACTGGTGGCAAAGTAGGTCTAGAACACATGCCTTACGAAGCCCTTCTGTCTGCTTTCCCACCCAGAATACTGATACAATAATGTGGCTCTCTGAAGAAGAAATGCACAGCAGGTATAACTGATGGCCTGTGAGGGGATGAAGAGTGTAAAAGTACCTTCAGCGGTTTGTTGGCTGCTTTGTTGGCTGCGTATTGTCAGAAACCAGGTGATTTGACACAAAGTGCTAATTTGTTTCCTCATGAGTAAAAAGCAGCTACTGAGAGGATTAGAGATTCTATTTGTCAAGTGCATCCTGTGTATGCATAGTGAGTGAACTCCCCATCG